ATCTCAGATTCTCCAGCATCTGCAGTTCCTACTATCTCCATTATAATGCATTGTTTTAAGGATGAATAAAGCCTGTTTTCTTTTCCTCAGTTATTTAAACTTAATAATAGCCTTCAAAAAGGGTATCAGATAAATACTTGATCAAATAAAACTGCCAGGATATCGGTAAAGGACAGGGGGATGAGACCAACTGAATTGTTCTTTGTGACAGCTGTGTTCAGCTGAGCTGTACTAAGATTTTGTGAAATATCCTGGGATTTTCCTAATTTTATTTTTATTGTAAAAGAAAGGGAAAAGTTGAAACTTGGAAAATCTGGATAACTTCCGCGTCTTAAATCTATTTTTATTTGGAAACTAATTTAGACTCAAGAAAAAAATGGCTTTAAAGGGCACAGTTCAGCTACCTGTCAACTAAGAATGATTTACAGAGTTCACAAATGTCACTTCGACAAGGTTTCAGTTAACCCTTAGATGACTTATATCCAAAAGTCCGATTGATAACTCTTTTGGGGTGGATTTCTGGCCTAGTGGCAAGGGAGGGCGTTGGGGGCATCAGGATTCAATTCTACTGGCTGTTCGGCACCATTTGAACTGAGAGGAGCCAGGGTATGATATATGGCCCAGCAACAGCTTGGAAGCATTTGTTGGCTACCCCAGCCAGGAAATGCCCCTCAGCCCCTCAGGTGTACACAGTCATGGCCACACGTGAGACTCACAACCAAAGGATAAGTTGAAAATTGATCACTCGGACCAACTGGCGGCGTCAGCTAACCTTCTTTTCAAAGCTTGCAGTCATTGGTTAGAGTTGCCAAACCTCCCAGATTGGCCAAGAACCTCTGGGAATTGGAGACTACTTTCCCAGGTACAACAGCAGACACTCCAGGAGCAAACTCATAGGAGGAGGCATTTAAAAAAATCAGAGATCAAAAGGAAAGTAAAAGGCTGTTTGACTGATGGTCAAGGATTATCTAACTGGAGAAGAAGAGTCTGTTAGTTTTCCAATTGTTATGGAAAGCAGGGGAGTGCGGAATAGACCATGGAGGATGGCAAAACAAGAGTGTAAGGACCAGGGTTGAGGACAGGAACCATGATCGGCCCAAGTTGGTAACACTATCCTTAGCCCAACATACATTTGTGCTCTTTACTGGATTAGCTGGACAGTTCCAACTGATTAGTAAGGTCCTCTTGTGCAACACAAGCAGTGTTAAAAAATCAGTACCAACTTTGATTTAACAGCATCTTTAACATTGAGGACATATCAATGTGCTTCAAAGAGGAATAAGAAGAACTGAAAAGGGAAAAAAAATTAAAAGAACGGGATGTTCGGTGAAGGAACTAAAGGTGAGCTTTTGAAATGGAGAACTTGTTGGAGGAGTTACAGAGAAGATTCCAAAACATGTGTCCTACATCTCTGAAAGCATGGGCACAAGTTCAGGTGGATTTGGGAAGGCCTGTAGCATAGACAATATACCAGAATAAAGAGGGCC